TATTTCTAGACATTTATAAGAAGTTTCTATGAATTACTCAATAGCGAGAGCTTATTTACAGTGAAATGTATATTATTATTACAACAATAATATGTTGAACCAGTTTTAGGAGATATAGTCAAACAGTCGGTGACTTAATCCACGTCTTTATATACTGTCGGCAAACAAGAAATTATGATTTCATTATTGCAAACGATTTGAAGGCCATTAACTGAGACGAAGGGCCGGCATATGAAACGCCGACACAAACTAAACTATTTTTACGGACCCATGAATTTGATTTATTGTGACAGAAATACCATTGAATACAATATGTTTTTTATGTCCACTTAAAACTAGTTAATCGACACGAGATTAAGACCTAAACTAAAATAATCGATATATATGTTGGCACAAAGACTGAATGTCCATTAAATAAAACAAGTTTGTCGCTTAATAAGATAATGTTGAGCATTGGTCTGTACAACACATACGCCCCCCGTTTGTGACAACTTTGATTTTCATCGTTTTCATTGAGTGCTAACATTGAATACAATGTAATAAATGGTGATTTCAAATGCTTTTTATTAATGGCTAAGAAATAGTGAATAAAGACTTTTTCACTTAAATGTTTTTAAAGAAAATATAATATTGTACAAAAAATAAAAATTGTTTTAAAACTACTAACTTGTAAGTTTTCACTAAATTTTTTTTATTAAATTCCTAAATAATAAGAAATAAAAGTAGACGAATAAAATGTAAGGAATTCAACACTTTTAGTATAAATATTATACATTATATTTATTATTGATTTTTTTGCATTCGCAATTTTACCATAATTAAATAAATAAATGTACATTATTATTTAGTTATTTATTTATATTTTGATAGAATTGCACAATTACATTTTTTCAAATTTTCAATTTCATTTAAATGCACATTCTTGGGAGATTTTATTAAATTTTTATTTCATCGATCGGTTTCATTAATTTTATGAAACTTTCACGTGAAATATCATATGTTTGACAATTAATATCCCATTATTTCATTGACCAAAATTACATAAAATATGTATTCTTTTCAAAAATACAATGTTTGCAAAATACGCTACTACAAATTATGGTAATGACAATATACTATTACACAATTTGTTAGGGTTTTATGTAATCATTTTGGATGTTTGTACAAATTGTTTGGCTTATTCTTTACATAAGAATACTTTATATAAGAATTAGAATCTATTTGATGATAAATTTTAAAATTATGAACTTGATCTCTCTCTCTCTCTCTCTCTCTCTCAATACAGATGTTTTGAAGTATCCATTTGGGAGTCGATAGAGAAATATATTCTTTATATTTCAGATTTAATGAATTTATCCCTAAATGTCTAGATTTTGTTAGTTTTAGAATCAAATTATATTTATTTTGGTAAAATATTTCTTATTTTTATACATTTTTCAGACACAGAATTCCTCAGACATGTGATGTGTTAATGAAATTAATTTATACATAAATGTTAACAAGTTCTCTACAGATTTCCTTCATTACCATTATTTGAGATATTAATTAAAATACTTTAACGTAAAGTTAAAAAGTTTTTTTTGTTTTGTATGACATTTAGACAAAAATAGTTTGTAATTTATTACAAAGCAATAAAACTAGTGCCCAGATCTACGGGTAAGTGATTCAATTGATTTAATAACTTAAAAGATCTTCATAAAGTAAAGTACTTTTTACAATTTCTTGTAAAAACTGTTTGACCTTTATGAATAATTTAAAATCAATTTATATTTACCAAGAGCTTTCAGTCAAACATCTTGACTAATTTAAAGCCAAACTTTTTATTAAAAAGTCAAAACAGTATTTAAAAATTATAAGATTAAGCAAACATTATATAAAACGTAATGTATTAGTGTTTTATGGATTAAAGCAAAGTTTTCGTCGAAGTCCTTTCACTTTAAACTCCGGAGGATTTGAGTCCATCTGCTCTTTGAAGAGTTGCAGAAAATCATAAGTCTATTGAAATAATTGAAATTTAATTAAAGATTTTTCAGATAATTGAGACATAAATTGAATAATAATAACTAAAGCCTTTCAAAATATGCATTTATAAGCAGTCAAATATGTCATATAATATGCACTAAAAAGTGGCTAAATATGCACACATATATGCACTTATAATTCTGTTAATATACGATATAAATATGATTTAATATAATTTATTAACAAAATGACGAAATGTTATGATGAAAATGGTCATTAGGCCTTAAAAACTTATTTAAATGTTATAAATTACAGATAAAATATAAATAAAAAATATATGGCTTATTTTTTAAATGCTGTAATAATTGCTAGAACTACAATAGGTAATACTTTAACATTAATATACAATGTTAATCAGATAAATATTTGTTTTATGACTTAATATTTGGTCCAATTATACAATAAATTTTAAATAATTGTAAATTTTCTAACAATTTAGACATGTTTAGTTATGATTTTCGAGCAAATCCATGTTTTTCTGCTTTTAAACCAAATATGCAGTTATATGCATTTATGATTCAAATATGCATTTATATGCAAAATAAAAGTTCTTCAAAACACCCCTTATTATGTCATTCGTTTGCCCCCAAAGTCCCAAACATATACAGCTAACCGGTAAAAACATGCATTTGCACGATATGAAAGGCTTTAATAATAACTAACTCTGCTCATTATTGATGTCAGCGTCTCTTCGCACGCGTATTGAGCTAACGTATGGCTGAAGGCCTGTCCGAAGTGACTGATACCATATTCCTCGTCGTAAAACGTTTTATGTCCTAACAATTCACAAATACAATACAATATACAGAATACAAATAAATAATTATATAACAAATATATCAATAAACTAACCTTCGGAACAGGAATAACATATAAACGTATCCATATTGTTGTCCATCCAATGCCGGTCTAATGTCTGCATAACAGGGAAATCTCTGTCGGGATGTGCGGCCACTTCGACCATAGGTTTGCCATTTATGAGTTCGCCATACGTTTCGCTTGTTAACGCTTAGTTTCGGTAATAAAAAACAATTTAAACAATTATTGTACAATTAGTATATTTTATAATGAAATATATTGTAATTATTATACAATTTCTACAACACGTAAAGAAGAATAGTTTGGGAATATTTCTCAGATCCGGACAATTCTGAACCGAACAGAGATCCACAATATCTCTGATGTCGACCACATCGGTGTCGAGCACTCGTTTGGCTGCCGTGTCGTTGGCGTTATCTCCCAATACCCTCATCGCGTCGCACGCGTCCGAACCCATTATCTTCTCTTCTAATCCATGGCTTATAATCATAACAACTAATGCTTGACACGATTTGTCCTCTTCTTCAATGATTTCTCTCAAATTAGTGGTAATTTGTTTTGCGGTCCAATTGTAACACTTTTTCACTTGAAAGTGCAGTTTTTCAAATATGTATTGAAATCTCTTGGACTCCATATACAACTCATTTGACACATTGTTTAGTATAATACACTTTCCTCTCGGCTTTTGATCCATATTATAGTAAAGACTTCCCATCATTGGAGCTTTAGACTCGTAAAATCTGTAAATAATATGTTTATTAAACAATTTAAATTCATCGTTATATTTATTTAAAAAATATATTTAATTTAAATGTAAAATAATGTGTAAATAATATAATACTAAAACAAATATGAAATAATTAGAAAATACTATCGTAAAATAAATTATATACAGATTATTTTAAATAAATCACTTATAAAATGTATTGGTAATTTGTGACCAAACACAGACTTAATGTTTTTACATAATAAAAACAATACTAACGGTATTTCGTGACAAACCCTGAACTCCGTATTAGGTATTTTGGGTGCATTATATTCAAGGAGTATGTCTGCGGCCTCTCTCTGACCCGATTCACGCAATAGTCGTATGAATTCACTGCAAGCACTGCGAGAACGAGTGAACGCAACCAAAATGAAGACCACTTTTTCGCTATCACTCTCTAAATTCTGTCAAATTAACGAAACATCAATTTTTCATTATTTGTTTACAATCATTTATTAAATAACCTTGACCACTTTGTTCATGTCATCGCAGAAATAGGGATGTTCTGTAAGGTGGGCCACAAATTTGGCACTTAGTTGAATCAACTTTTTACATTTGATAAAATAATTAGGATATAGATTACGATTTGTTATTTTCTCCATTTTGTTAAATATGTTGTATTAAAAATATTATTTAAGTATTATTATCAACACTTACTATGCAGTATTTAAACATTATTTTCCATATTATAAATAGTGAATATTTTAATATTCTTATCGCCTTATAATACTGTTAATTGCTATAGTAACAAAATCATTGCAACTTAATTGCTATGTCTTGATATATTTTATGAAAGGGTTGATCTTACATCGTATTAAAAACACAAAATACTGTACATTTTATATTTAAATATAAAAATATATATTTATTTATTCATTAATATCATTTTCGCCATTTTATAATTTTTCATAATAAAATTAACTTCGTCGTTATATAATAATTTTTGAAGTAATTTTGGCAGTATATTTTTGTCCTGCTTTAAAAATTAAATTGCAAAGATATATTGTTAAATTAATACATAATTAATTACATAACCAAATGAATATAATTGCGTAAAATGTGTGAATTATTGGAAAAGATTAGAATTTGTGATGAAATTCCAATTAATATTAAAAGAAGTATTTCAAAATTACATGTATTTCGTGATAATTATGATGATGCAAATGTGCTGTTTGTAACAATTGATGATGACGTGTATGGTTTGGGCAAAAACCGAGATGGTTGTTTGGGCTTTGGACATAAACGACCCATAATATCGCCACAACTGATACCGGAATTGTGTAATCAAAAGATAAAATGCTTTGTCAATGGAGGAGATTTTGTGTTAGCACGAAATGAACAAAATATGATATATGGATTTGGTAATAATAAATTTAGACAATTGGCCACAAATAATCAAAATATAGATTATTTAGTCCCACAAAGAATATCGTTTTTTAATGATAAAACATTGTACAAATCAGTTGCGGTACTATTCATTCACTCGCTCTCACAAGTGATGGCCAGGTGTATGCCTGGGGTGACAATTATTTGGGACAAATTGGTTGCGGGGATACAAATGACGATTTACTACTTTTAAACCCATTTAGATTACAGTTTGATGACAATTATACAATAAAATCCATTTATTGTTGTTATGACACTTCATTTGCCATCACAACCGATGGACGTGTGTTCAGTTGGGGCAGTACTAAAGACTATCAATTGGGACACAACACAACAGGTGATAAAGTATCGGAACCTCGATTGATATCAACATTAACTGATGTGACGGCAATTGATTTCAGACGTTGCGGAACCTATTTTCTTACAACAAATGCAATATATTTTTGTGGCAAATATTGGGCAAATAGGAGAGAAATGATCGAAATCATTCCGACACAAATACCAACAGAATATTGTGTCCAACATTTACAACACTTTCAGTTGTACTTAAAGTATAATTTTGTATTTGTTTTTATAAATGATGAAATACACCAAATTGACCAGGAAAATCAATTAGATAAAACAAATTATCATAATTTAATTGATATATACGCTAATGAGCGTGAAACCACTTATAATACAATTAATATAAAATGTGATAGTATTTATGTCTTACAATTCAATGAGATTAGACCTTTAGGTTTTGGTTCTTTTGGGACAGTATTTAAAGTGAAGCAAAAATCTAATGGTAATACATATGCTATAAAGAGACTCATTTATAATGGTAATATACAAAATATTTAAAAATGTTATCTATAATTGTATATAAGATAAAATTTGGTAAAATATTTTCAGTTTCAAATGACAACAATACACGACTCCAAAAAGAAGTGGAAAATCTTAAAAAGCTAGACCCAGAATATGCGGTCAGATATTACGATTCATGGCTCGAATCCAATTATATGTACATTCAGATGGAGTTCTGTACGCAAACACTCGCGTCAGTACTTAAAGACAAACCCCGCGTATTTAACAGACAGTCATCGCAACCAATGGTTTGTTACGAGTATTTCATTTCGTGCCAAATATTTCGAGAACTATTAGAATGCCTCCGAAATCTTCACTCTTTGAATCCACCGGTGATTCACCGGGACTTAAAACCGGAGAATATATTGATTTTGTACAACGAAAATAGCAACAGATTTTTAAAACTAGGTGACTTTGGGTTGGCCACTGACCATGAGCGACATTTAATGAGCCATACTCGGGATGTAGGCTCAGTGAAATATATGGCTCCGGAAGTAAGCACGGGTAAACATTACAACTATATATCTGACATTTATAGCCTGGGCGTAATTGCATCAGAACTGTATGACAAAGACACTATGTATGTTTAGTTCTTATTATTTTGATAATATTTTATACCATATTTCAGTATAAATAATAAGATTTATATAATATCTATTGTTTATAAATCACTGGGATATAGTTTTGCAATATTTGTGAAATTTATCATGGATTATTTTCTCTATTTAGTGGTATTGAAAAATACATTTCAACCACATTTACGAATAAAGTGAGCAAAATGTATGACATTATTAAAGCAATGAACGAATGGGAGGCCAATGATCGGCCAAAAGTTGATCATCTATTAAAGGACTGTAACGACTGGTCGGTCGATAAACATATTATTACTGCAAACAAACAACAATTAAAACATTTGTTAAACAAATTAAAATCTTTTGATAACTCATTTTTCTATAACTTTTTATTTTGTAAAATAAAATAATTTATTTAGTTATTATGATTTAGTAATCATTATTTACAACAAGCATTTGCTAATATCAAATTAAACTTGTATTTTATGTTTGTTTACAAATTACTTGATTAAAACTTTAAAACAACCAATATTGATGTTTGTAATAAATTATAAAATCAACTAATTAAATCTTATTGTGGTTAAAAATATATAACATTATATTTTATGGATTAAAGCAAAGCTGTCGTCGAAGTCCTTTACCCCTAAACTCCGGCGGATTTGCTTCCGTCTGCTCGACGAAGAGCTGCAGAAAATCACACGTCTATTGGAAATAAGAATTCAATTAAGACACAGTATTACAAGATACGATTACAATACGTATATACAGTATAAAGTATTTGATAATTACAACCAACAAACAATTATGACAACTAACCCTGCTCATTATTGATGTCAGCGTCTCTTCGCACGCGTATTGAGCTATTGTATGGCTGAAGGCCTGTCCGAAGTGACTGATACCATATTCCTCGTCGTAAAAAGTTTTATGTCCTAATTATATACAAATACATTGTTTATTAGTTATTATTAATTTTAAAATTACCAGACCTTCAGCACAGGAATAGCATATAAATGTATCCAAATTGTTGTCCACCCATTGCTTGTCTAATGACTGCATATCCGGAAAATGTCTGTCAGGATGTGCGGCCACTTCGATGAAAGGTATGGCCAAATCCTTGCCCTTCACTTTCCGTTCGCCACACGTTTCGCTCTTCAGCGCTTGTTTTGACCACAAAATAATAGTTTAATGCAATTAATATTAAAATACTTAAAGATATCTTAATATTTGTTTTACAATTTCTACAACACGTAAAGAAGAATAGTTTGGGAATATTCCTCAGTTCCGGACAATTCTGAACCGAACAGAGATCCACAATATCTCTGATGTCGACCACATCGGTGTCGAGCGCTCTTTTGGCTGCCGTGTCGTTGGCGTTATCGCCCAATACCCTCATCGCGTCGCACGCATTGTAACCCATTATCTTCTCGTCTGATCCATGGCTTATAATCATAACAACCAATGCTTGACACGATTTTTCTTTTTCAATGATTTCTTTCAAATTAATGACCATTTGTTTTGCGGTCCAATCGTAACACTCGATCACTTGAAAGTGCAGTTTTTCAAAGATGTATTGAAATCTCTTGGACTCCATGTAACACTCTTTCGCCACATTGTTTAGTATAATACACTTTCCTCTGGGCTCTTGGTCCATTTTATAGTACAGACTTCCCTGCATTGGAGCCCTCGCTTTCTGTACTCTATATGAATAGTTATAAATTAATTAAAATCTTTATTCCCTATCTATTAATACCATGTTTTAATGTAAGTATAAGGTTTGTGTAAAGTTGTTGTTTGTGTAGTTAATAATAACATTAAATTAATTTATGTGCAAATTATTGCCTCAATTATTATTTCAAAAGTTCTTAAAACCATTGATAGTTCAATCAAAAAATCAAAATAAGATAATTTTATTGTAAATAAATTGATTTTAAAATAAATGCCAAAACAAATTAAATAACATATAAATATAATATCAATACTCTAAATTAATTAATGATTTTAAAAAATATTTTTTATAGATATTCAACACAAGTATACTGTGTTCAATAGATGTTACCTTTAATACACAGATCTCCCTCTACATTAAATGTTAGCTAACATTTTATTATAAATGAAATATTCTAGAGTATTATACATGTATAATATTAGTTATAAGTTAAATTATCATTGTCATTTTAATACTATGCCCACTTACTGTAACCTTTGCATATACAGTAGTATCAAGGACAAAATTAATCATTAAAGGTTTTTAAATAACTAATTTACTGGTTTTAAATATTGGTAATAACCTTTTGATTTTATCAATAAAAATAGGAGCATTAAAAACATGATGATTGCAAATATAAATAATTAATACTAACTCTATTTCGGGACAAATCCTAAACCCGGACTCAACGTTATGTCCTTTGGATGTATTATATGTTAGGAGTCGTTGAGCGGTCTCTTTCTGACCCGATTCGGCCAATAGTCGTATGAATTCACCGCAAGTACTGCGCGATCGCGTGAACCAAACCAATATGAATACCAACTTTTCGCTATCCGTCGCTAATTTCTGTCACATTAAATGAAATTCAATCAATCAATTGTATTAAGTAATACACAGCAACTCAAACCTCGACCACTTTAGTCATATCATCGCAGAAATAGGGATGTTCTCGCAGGTCGGCCACGAGTTTGTCATTTAATTTGACCAAATCTTTAAACTCGATGAAATCCCGGAAATATAAATCACGATTTGTTATTTTCTCCATCGATTTGAATCATTTGTTTTTCATTTCATTGAATCAATTGAATAAATATTTTGCAAATGTCTTATTATTTTACTTGTATTATATTTATATTATTACTTATATTATAAGATAATATACGTGTAATATTACGGTATTATGGTATCAATGGTATCATGGTAACAAAGATAAATTAAATGAAATGCATAATAATTTATGCGTTTTATTATTAATATTGATAAAAAAAGCTACAAAAATAAAACAGTTACAACGTCAATTATTTTAAAATAATAACTATGCACACTAATAACATATTTAAAAGCTTATACAAAATTAATTTTAACAATTCTACCAGGGTAACCTAGTTGAATATGTAAAGGTAAAGTTAAATATTACCTAGAATTTATATTTCAATATTTTGTAAAATTAATTCATTTGATATTTAAAATAAGTTAACCCTATTTTTACTTCCATAATGTTAAACACAAACACTACCGACAATTACACATATACTTAATACACTATCCCAGAATAAACTGGACATCAAAGTGACCAAATTGTCACCCTATTTAAGTCCCAAACTTATTACACATACAGTCAGTCAATATAAAGTCAATACAAAATGTAAACTCACATTAAACACACGATTTGTGTGTTTTCGCACTATTTGTGCTAAACTTAAATAAAGTTTCATTTTTTAAAACAAAAGTTTTAAATCAAATTAATTAAAATTTTGTGAAAATCATAATAACTTTATAAATAATAATAACAGTTAGTTTAACATTTGTTAGCCAAACATAAAACCGAGTGATTTGGTGAATCTGTTGGCCTGTCTTTGCCATAGCTTTAACATATCGATGGACTGTTTGATGACAGGAAGGCCTCCCGATTCCATCATAGACTTGATCTGATTGTTCGCGTCGTAAACCATGTCCTGAATGTGACTCAGATTCTCACCGATCAGACCAAACATCCCCTGGTCTTCGTCTTTAACGTACATAACGTTATCAATACTCGACTCGTTTTCGCTTTGTTTCTCCTTTAATATCATTGAAAGTGATTTCCCGTAAACACTAATCACACACATTATTAGCCCTATTATCGCTATTTTTGACAAAGTTTTCATTTTTACTCAACATTTAATCCCAAATATATATTTTAAAAACATAAATACAATATTTTTATAAAAATATAGTAAACCACTATTATTTATAATAAGTTAGTTTGTGTCACAATTCAAATATTGTTTTATACATTTATAATATAATTTAATGAGAATATTATGAGGGTTTAGGTATTATTTAATACCGTATTAATTACAAAAAAAGACATAAATTTAATTTAAACAAGGATCACACAACGAGTTATTACATTTTAAATTATTTACATCAATTTATTTTACATGAAATATAATTAGTTTATTGAAATTGTGTTAATATCAATCAGTTAGTGATTTAATCCGGGTTGTAATAGGTGCTAAGGGAGCTAAGGGTATCGGCAAACGTGTCGAGTGAATAATTGGGTATATATTGAACGGCCACTTCATATTCAACCATAAGATAGGTTTCAATGGTTGCATAGTCTGTGTTGAAGACCAGTAGTTAGTTATTGGGATTAGAGGCAGAATAGGAAGGGGCGGCGGAATGGCATACAATTTATTTGGTTTAATATTACGTAAGGGGTAGTGGGGTATGAGTGCAAGCATTGGAGCAATTGGTGCCAACCATTTAATCAATGGATCAGTTTTGCGATTTAGCATCAAGTTTATATTAGGAGAATGTGGAAAGTGTTGTATTGGAAATTTTGCAAAATTTAATTGTGTTTTATTTGTGTGCCCAAACACTGGCCACAAAAGTAAGGGTAGGGCTAATGGCAGTAATACAGGGGTTAGGCGTGAAAATGGATGCAAAATCATTTTCTTAGCATTTCCTTTAATAATAGGCGGAAAATGTATTGGCGGCCGAAATATGGCATTGCGTTTATGTCGACGATATATTGAAGGGCTGGAGGGAGTAATCTGTGATACAGCGGGTGTTGATTGACTATTTATGCGATTTTCAATTTGTTTTGTTGAATACATTTGTTTCATGTTATTTAAATCAGTTGCAAAATAGCGATTGTTGTAATTAGACTGGGATTGTTGTGATTGGGATGATTTAAATTTATTAAACCAATTATACTTATTTAATCCTTGTGAATTACTATTTAGCTGTTTATTAAATTGATTTGATGAAGACATTTGTTTTACGTTATTTAAATAAGTGTTAAAATGGTGCATGTTTAAATAGCGGTTGTTATAATTAGACTGGGATTGCTGTGATTGAGATGACCTAAATTTATTAAACCAATCATATCTATTAAACCCTAATGTTTGGATTGATCGCACGGGTGGGCGATATTTGTAGTAAATATATGGACGCAATAATAGTACAGGTAACCCTCTAACAAGCAACCTTGGTAACACCGATAGATTGTGTTTAGAACTATTATTCATGGACGCTGTCGGATGTGTTGTGTAAATACTGCGAATAGAGGACAGGGGAGGGCTTGGTATGATTTTGCTACTTATTTGTTGTTGTTGCTGTTGGGTAGAATGTTGCATGCTACGTTTGTATCTATAATTCATATAAGGTATAGATGTTTGAAAATTGTGCTTATTAAAATATTGGTTTTGTTGTTTTTGAAAATTATTTGATAAACTCATTTGATTTCTATTGTTTGAATACGTTTTAAGATTGTGCATGTTAAAGTAGCGATTGTTATAAATAGACTGGGATTGCTGTGATTGAGATGATTTAAATTTATTAAACCAATCATGTCTATTAAGCATCGGTTGAATGCCATAATATTGAAACGTGGGAGAAATCAGTGGTTCTATATGTTTGTTATGGTTGAAAGTAAGAGGGGGTTTGAATGAGGTTAGTTGTATATTATTGCTACTTATTTGTTGTTGCTGTTGAGTAGAATATTGCATGCTACGCTTATATCTAGAATTGATATAAGGTGCGTATGTTTTAAAATTTTGCATGTTAGAATAGCGGTTGTTATAATTAGACTGAGATTGCTGTGACCGGGATGATTTAAATTTATTAAACCAATCATATCTATTAAACCCTAAAGCCTGGGTTCGAATTGCCCGCACGGGTGGGCGATATTTGTAGTAAATATATGGACGCAATAATAGTACAGGTAACCCTTTAACAAGCCACCTTGGTAACATTGATAAATTGTGTTTAGGTCCTATATTATTCATGGATGTTGTCGGAAGTGTTGTATAAATACGGCTAGAGGACAGGGGAGGGGTTAGTATAATATTGCTACTTATTTGGTGTTGTTGTTGTTGCTGTTGGGTAGAATGTTGCATGCTACGTTTGTATCTATAATTCATATATGGTGTAGATGTTTGAAAATTGTGTTTATTAAAATATTGGTTTTGTTGTTTTTGAAAATTATTTGATAAACCTATTTCATTCTTATTGTTTGAATAAGTTTTAAGATTGTGCATGTTAAAGTAACGATTGTTATAACTAGACTGGGATTGCTGGGACTGAGAAGATTTAAAATTTTTAATCCAATCATACTTATTAAATGGTTGTGATTGACTACTTAGCTGTTTATTAAATTTATTTGATGAAGACATTTGTTTTACGTTATTTAAATAAGTTTTAAAATTGTGCATGTTTAAATAACGGTTGTTATAGCTAGACTGTGATTGCTGGGCCTGAGAAGATTTAAATTTATTAAACCAATCATATCGGTTAAGCCCTAATGTTTGAATTGATTGCACGGGTGGGCGATATTTATAGTAAATATATGGACGCAATAATAGTACAGGTAACCCTCTAACAAGCCACCTTGGTGACACATATAGATTTCGTTTATGTCCTCTATTATTCATGGGTACTGTTGGAAGTGTTGTGTACATAGAGTGAATGGAGGACAAGGGAGGGGTTAGTTTCATAAATTTGCTACTTATTTGTTGTTGTTGTTGCTGTTGTTGTTGCATGCTACGTTTATATCTATAATTCATATAAGGCTTATATGATTGAAAATTGTACTTATTAAAATATTGGTTTTGTTTTTTAAAATTATTTGATAAACCCATTTGATTCTTATTGTTTGAGTAAGTTTTAAGATTGTGCATGTTCAAGTAACGATTGTTATAACTAGACTGGGATTGCTGTGATTGAGATGATTTAAATTTGTTGAACCAATCATAATTATTAAACCTTAAGAACTGTTTAAGAATTGGGCGATATTTGTGATAAATATATGGACGCAATAATAGTACAGGTAATCCTCTAACAACCCATTTTGGTAACACTGATTGATCACGTTTAAGTTGAATATTATTCGGGGACAGGGAAGTTATTAGTCGTCCATTATTACTACTTTGTTTTTGTTGCTGTTGAATAGAATGTTGCATGCTACGTTTATATCTATAATTGATATAAGGTTTATAGGATTGAACATTATGCTTATTAAAAAATAACTGTTTTATTTTGTTAGAATTAGAATCAATTTGATAATTGCGCTTGTTAAAATAGAGATTGTTGTTATTAGACTGAGATTGCTGTGATTGAGATGATTTAAATTTATTAAACCAATCATATCTGTTAAACCCTAAAGTTTGTGTTTGGATTGATCGGACGGGTGGGCGATATTTATAGTAAATATATGGACGCAATAGTAGTACAGGTAACCCTTTAACAAGCCACCTTGGTAACACCGATAGATTGCGTTTTGGTTGATTTAAATAACTATTTCTCTGTTGTTGCATGCTACGTTTATATCTATAATTGATATTAGGTGCATATGTTTGCATGTAAAAATTACGGCTGTTATAATTAGATTGCGATTGCTGGGACTGAGAAGATTTAAAATTATTAAACCAATCATATCTATTAAATGGTTGTGATTGACTACTTAGCTGTTTATTAAATTGATTTGATGAAGACATTTGTTTTGCATTATTTAAATAAGTTTTAAAATTGTGCATGTTTAAATAGCGATTGTTATAATTAGACTGAGATTGCTGTGATTGAGATGATTTAAATTTATTAAACCAATCATATCTATTAAACCCT